ATTATTTCCTAAACTACAATCAAACTCACCAGGGTGAGATCCAAACCTCTATCTTCATTTTGGTTCCCACCTACTTCCCACAGCTCATTTCTTTTCCTTCCTTCCTTCCTTCTTTCCTTTCCTTCCTTCCTTCCTTCCTTCTCTCTCTCTCTCTCTCTCTCTCTCTCTCTCTCTCTCTCTCTCTCTCTCTCTTTTTGAACCAATCATAAGTGATTGGGAAATCAAGGGTACCTGACTGGGCCCTTCTGGGGAGACATTATTAGAAAGGTTTGGGGCTGGTCAGACTGCTGTGTGCCTTCTGAATTGTCACAAATGGAAGTCAGGGGAGCAGCTGGCATGCAAAGGTCTCCTTGGTGGAGGAGGCAGTGGGCTTGCCGTGGTGGTGGGTGGTCCGCCGCCTCTCTTCCCTTTCCCCACCATCCCATCCATGCTAAGGGCACTCTGACCGCAGTGACCGCAGTGACCGCAGTGACCGCAGTGCGGGTTAGGGCTGATGCTGTCCAGCCCCAGAGACAACTGCCAACTGCTGTCAAGATAAAAACAGCCGTTGGAAGGGGAGTCTGGGAAAGTATTTCGACGAAGAATCCTGGGAATTCCAGCCTCACATGGGAGAGGGCTGGAGGGGGTGATATGAATGAAAATATTGGCAGGCTGTACTAACCCCCGTGAGACAGCTGTGTAGCTGGAGCCGCATGTATTCTAAGTACCTGTGCCTTCTCAGCACAATGGGAGAACCATGGGGGGGGGGGAATACCACAGACCACACACAAAGGGGCCTGGAGTTTCCCTTCCCTCCAATGCTCCTCACAGGCTACCAGTGTCTGACTAACCTGAGTGCTGGGCCATGCTGGGGCTCCCCCTCTACAGCGCCCATGGGGATGGCCTCCTCAGTGCACACACTGTGAGCCAGGCTGGGGCTCCCCCTCTGCAGTGTCCATGGGAATCGCCTCCTCAGTGCGCACACTGTGAGCCAGGCTGGGGCTCCCCCTCTACAGCGCCCATGGGGATGGCCTCCTCAGTGCACACACTGTGAGCCAGGCTGGGGCTCCCCCTCTACAGCGCCCATGGGGATGGCCTCCTCAGTGCACACACTGTGAGCCAAGCTGGGGCTCCCCCTCTACAGTGTTCATGGGAATGGCCTCCTCAGTGCGCACACTGTGAGCCAGGCTGGGGCTCCCCCTCTACAGTGCCCATGGGGATGGCCTCCTCAGTGCACACATTAGGAGAGGTTCTGAGGGAACCCTTTCTCTTAGTTCTGCTGAGCCCAGAGATCAGTCTGAGTAGATGATCCTATACCTCACCAAGTGCAGAAATGGATAGCTCTGAGTCCAGAGAGAGGAGGCCATGGTCCACGCCTCTCTTGAGAGATCTGGCGCCACCAGCTTGCCAGCAAAACAGCGTGTAGGAATTTCACAACCCTGTAGGCCTCTAAATAAAATAATATCTCTTCCTATCCAGGTGGTAAAGTATTGGGGGTTAGAAGGAACTAGAAACCCAAGTTCACAGAGATAAGAATTTTTGAGCTTTCCTACAAGATAAAGCAAACATGTTTTCCTTTTCTGGCCAGGCTCCCAAAAATTGAGCTCAAGAACCAGGGAGATGGTTTGGGGGTAAAGGGACCAGCTGTACAAGCCTGTTGACCCGAGTTGATGCCTACGACCCATATAATGGTGGAAAGAGAATGAACTGCGAGGCTGAGCTCAGAGTGAGGACTGAGTTGGACTGACTGAGGAGAAAGGAAGGACTCTATTCCTCTGGCCATGTTGAGCCGGGGGCATTTGAAGGGACGGAAGCATGGCCACTCCAAGCTCTTGAACAAGTATCCATTTGCCACGTGATACTGACTGACCACAGAACTGTATCAACGCCTTTCCACCAAGTTTTGAACCATGTTGGTGGCGGCCTGGGGGAAGGGGTTGGAATTGAGTCCCCCTAAAGACAGTGACTTCTGATTCAGTTGGTTCCAAAGCCTAAAAAAGGCTTAGAGTAGCTCCCTAGTACTGGAGGCAGTGAAAAGAGTCTCTCCTTCAGTGGGGAGAGCCCGGGAAGACACTGGTTTGGAGCAAACAGCTGCCTTTGGAGCTGGCTTCAGACGTTCAGTTGCTTTTGTTTTGTTTTGTTTGTTTGTTTGGTGATTTCATCTTTCCATCGACCGACAAGTTATAAAGAGAGGGATGGACCATGCTGGTTTGTTCTTGCATGTGACTGGTCTGAAGAGAGTTATGCAGACACTCCATTTGCAGGTGTAGAGGGTTAAAGGTCAGGCCTCTGACCTGAGCTCCCTAAGCTCCGGCTTTAGGGGATTTAGGTGGTAGGTGGGCCAGGTGCCCACACCGGTTTCCTCCAGAGAAGTGGTCGTGACTTGTCCAGGATTTGGGGCTATTGAACACAAGGAGAGGGAGTGTGGGAGAGAGGGAGGATGTGGGGGCACAGAGAATAGGAAAGGAGGGGCTGAGCTGAACCGGCCATTCAGAACTCAGCAATTCTCAGGAAGCTCCCAGGTGAAAGACTGTCCGTCCTCAGGACTCTCTTTCTGACCTCCTTCACGGCTGCATCTAGGCCTCTTCTTGTCTTGAGATGTGGTAAGAGCAGAAAGGCTGCCTTACCAAGGACTCTGTCAGGCCAAGGGGGAGAGAGCTACGATGTGTCCCGCATCTGTCCCATCAGTCTAGACAGGAGGCATCCCCCAGAAGCTCCAAGGAAGCTGGAGAAGACAGAGGCAGCTGTCTCTGGGGCATGGGGAGGCCTGTGCGAGTGAGAAACCACCAGGGATGGAAAAGCCATGAGGTCCAGTGTCTCAAGGGAAGGGGCTTGGAGTCTTGGAAAGCCGAGTCTCAGTTTAAGGGTGATCTTGCTTGACCTCAGCGGGTGAAAGGAAAACTGAGTCTGTGGATGTCCTGAGGCACAGAGAGGTTTAATTGGTAGTCAAGGTCTGCATTTGCTTGCACACATGCACTGTGCTCTCAACTGCCTGTCCTCATCCGCCACCTCCTTCCCTCACTCCTTAGTCCCCCTTACTTGATAAGAGTCTTGCTACTTCAGGTAGTCATTTAAAAATTTCAGTTGCCACATAGGAAAGAACAGGCAACATTTGTCGTTCTGCCTCTGACTGATTTTGCTTAGTAATGAATTCTAGTTCCACCCATTTTCCTGACTATGCCATGACTGTGTTATTCATGGCTGCACAATATCCCATTTTGGTGTAGATCTGCCATATTTCCTTAACTCACTGACCTGGTCGCTGTCTACACTCGTTCCACACAGTAGGTATTATAAACAGTGCCATGATAAATATAGGTATAGGTTTTGTTTAAAAACTAGTACAAATAGTTACACTGTGGAAAAAAATATTGGAGCAAGATTTGAGTTTCAAATAAATGTGTTGGGTGCCGGTGAGAGCTCGCTCTGGGGCGGCTCATGGCCGGGCTAAGGCACAAACCAGAGGCTGAGGTCGGATCCTGCATTTCCGCCCCACTCCTTTCCGTGGGAGGCGGCTGACTCCTGTCGTTCTCCTCTGTGAAACAGGAGTGTTAGAATCTCCCTCACAGAGCGGTCGAAGGGCTTCTGTGGAAACTGACCCCTCCCGAAAACTGCTTCCCAAATCGCTGGACAGAGAGCAGCCGCCAGGGCTGGGGCGATGGCTGCAACAGGAGAGCGCTTGCTTCGAGAACACGAGGCCCTGAGTTCAAGGCTCGGAACCCGTGGAAGACAGCGGGCGTGGTGTGCACACTTGCGGTCTCACTCTGGGGCGGCAGGAACGAGCCAGTCCTGTTGCCAGCCAGCCAGCCTGCCTCGAATACTCGGTGAGTTCCACGCCGTGAGAGAACTTGTCTAAAACAGTAAGAAACACTAAACAAGGTGGACCATGCTGAGGAAAGACACCAAGGTGGACCTTTGTATGTGTACACACACACACACACACACACACACACACACATACACACAAGCATGCATAGCTAGAATTTTAGTACTGGCCAGCAAATCGGTGTGATTTCTTTTCTTCCTACTGAGGACGGACCTACTGTGGTTCCTTCTTGTCACCCCTAAAACATGTCTAAGGTAGTTTGTACACGTCTGAACCACAAACATTGCCAGCCAGGGGTGCTGGGCACTGCTGTGGCACGTACAGTGTGTCCCTGCTCCCTCGTGATCCCTTGGACGAGGAGGAACCACTCTGGTTGCTGAGAGCCCAGTACACCGGAGAATGATGAACTGCCCGCCTGTGGCTTGCCAGGCTGAGCAGAGATGGACAGCCCCGCCCCCACCCTGGCATCTACGCTGACAATACTCGGCAGAATGGCACTGCCTGCCACGGTGATCTGCCAGCCAACCTTGGCGTCTTGGTCGGTCAGGGAGACTCGGTGACAACTATGTAAGTGATCTTGGGTTTATTTTGGGGCCATTCCAAAGCAAGTCAGAAAAAAGTAACTTTATTTGTATAAAGAAGACAGAAATGCTTAGGAATTCACTGCCCACTGAGCCCTTTTTCTGTTATTTTTCTAGTTTCTTGGTTCCTGTAACTTCCTAACCCTGGCAGAAGTCAAATTTACCGCTCCCAGAAGGAAGGCCAATTCTCTTTGACTGTAGGAGAAATGAGGGAGGGAGGGAGCGAGCCATCCAGAGCCCAGACCTTTCTTTCTGGAGAATGCCAAGTTGTGAGGAGGAAGTAGCTGCCCAGGTCCAAGGTTAAACACACATCACACAGATGTGAAGGGGGGAATTCGCTGGGGTCAACTGTTTTGGGGTCACACAGAGTGAAGCAAAGGGGCTCCGTGCAGACACTGGTTTAGGTCTCCGGCCTTGTTAGGGCTGGACAGAAAAGGGGCAGGACCGAAGGTTTCTGACGCGGCTTTTATCCCCCTTCATCCCCCAGGGGTTTGAGCGGGCGGCAAAGCCATTGATGCTTAGCTGTAAATGGAACATGTGTCCCCATGCTCAGTTACATCTAAGGGAGCCTTATGAGCACCTCTGGGCCTGCCAGGCTCCTAGCTCAACACTTCAAGGTGTATCAAACAAGTGTGGCGTCAAAGGACCCCGGTTCAAATCCCCAGTGCCATCACTCCGGGATCTTGAGCCAGCTGCACCATGCGGGTTCCCTGTGGCCCCGGGACAGACGCCTCCTCTAGAAGCATTCTAGGCTGGGGAGGGTGGCTGTAGTCACCTGTCAGGCCCTCACAGGAAAATGCCAAGGACTGTGGGGCTTGAAGTCCGGAGGCTTCACGTCTGAGGTCGTGTGTTCTTCATGCTTAGCCATCTTCTCAGTACGTCCTTGCGGTGGTTTGAATGAGAAACATCTTCCACGGGCTCGTGCATTTCAGTGCTCAGCCCCCAGTTTGTGGTGCTGTTTGGGGAGGTCTGGAGCCTTGGGAAGGGGGGCGGTCTTGCTGGAGGAAGAATGCTGGGGGGGGGGTTGAGAGTTTAATGTGCTTACTCCACTCAGTTTACTCCCTGCTTCCGTGTTTGCAGGTGAAGACGTGCTCTCTCTCTCTCTCTCTCTCTCTCTCTCTCTCTCTCTCTCTCTCTCTCTCAGCTTCCCGCCATGGCTCCCCGGCTAGTATGGACTCTTCCCCTGGAACCATTAGCTCAGATAAACCCCGCCTTCTGTAACTCGCCTTGTTCATGGCATTTTATCACAGCAACAGAAAAGTATCTAATGCTGCTGTTGTTGTTGTCTATGTTTTCTCTGCGTGGGAAGACTGTATGAGTCTTCTGTGGATGGGTATGTGTCCCAATCTTTTCTTTTTCACAGGGACACTGATCATGTTGTGTTAGATCCCACCCTAAAAGTCTCATTCTAACTTTATTATTGTTTTTTAAAAAAAACTATATTCATCCATAGTAACATTCTGGATACTTGGAGTTAGGACTGCATACATTTCCTCCGTGGTCCATAATTCTAGCCAAGATGGTGGGTCTTGCTGGGAAGACATTTCCAACAAGTAATATTTCTATCTCAGCGACAGGCACATGGCATGTTTTTCTTAGTGTTGGCCCTTTTTACTCTGTAGAACAGTAGCTTTCTTCATGAAGAATTCATTCCCTGAAAGGGGATGGCGCCTAGAGCCACGACAAAACAAACAAACAAACAAACAAACAAACAAACAAACGCCAGGCCCTAGGAAGCGTGAGGGCTCAGGATTTGGGGGTTCTGGTCTGGATCACGCCACTGCTTACCAAGTGGGTCGGAGATGTCATCTTCCGAGGTGGTGTGTCGTGTAAAATGAGGTGAGCAGACAGAAGAGAGTGGGCTGGGGGCCAGCTGACCCCCAGCCTTGCACTGGAGAAAGGCAGAGTGCCGGAGGTGGGGTGGGGGAGGGTAAACACAGCTGGAATCACTGAGGAAAGTCTTGCTTGCGGGGATGGGAGTGTTTCCCATCAATACTGGGCTACAGCCAACCATCATCCACGACTGGCTAGCTTTTTTTGGTCAAAAGCAACTCGTCTGTTTCTCTGCCGTCTGAGCCCAAACAGCACAGCTGGACTGGGGAGTCTTGGAGGAAGGCACATTCCGCTGCTTCCCACCAGCCAGCAGCTCATCTGCCCCGGGGCCAGCCCTAGCTGACATGGCTTGGGTCTCAGCACAGCCTCGGCTGCTGTGTGCAGAATTCTGAAGACCTGTCACTAAGACAGAGCCTGTGTCACCTCTAGTGACACGGTGACAGAGTTAGAACAAGAGCCAGACACGGGCACTCTCAACCTTGAGTTCTGGAACAAATGTTTCTCAGGGACACTGCCTCCCCTTCGGCATTCCGTATGGGCGGGTGCACTCATTTTGTTTTACTTTTTAATTTTATGTGTCGAAGTGTTTTGCCTGTGTGTATGTCTGTGCACTATGTGTGTGCCTGGTGTCCTTGGAGGTCATGAGAGGACATTGCACCCCTGGAACTGTAGTTACAGATGGTCGTGAGCCACTATGTGGGTGCTTAATTGAACCCAGGCCCTCTGCGGGAGTGATAGATGCTCTTAACTGTGGAGCCATCTTTCTAGCCCCCCGCCACGCCCCCGTGGAGGGATATTAAAAATAGATTTTGACATGTATTTAGTTTGTGTATGTATATATGTGCACACATGCTTGCACACACACGCAATGGCACACTTGTAGAGGTCACAGGACAACTTGCTGGAGTCAGCTCTCTCCTTCCGCCGTGTGTATTCCAGGACTTGAACTCAGGTTGTCATGCTCAGCAGCAGGCACCTTTGCCCGTCCACATGGATGGCTCCGGAAACGTTTACTGTATACATGGGACACCTTGTTGTAGCTGAGTAGTTCCCATCCTCTTATCCTGCCAGACTCTTAAGCCACATGAATGATAGAAGAAGACCATGCCTCGGGCAGGGCCCACTCACGAGTTTCTTAACGGAACTACAGAACTAGATAGCAGTGGATGAAAGTGTTGGGAGGGAAGTCAGCTCAAACAGCATGGCCCCAGATCTAGATCCGGTTAGATGTCAAAGACGAGTGTGGGGACAAGGGGACAAGCCGTGCTGGCCCGGTCGCTCATTCTAACAAATGGGAGAGGGGGGCTGCTCAGGTCAGAGTGTGGTTTGCTCTCCAGCTTGAGGCTGAAGAGGAACGGAGACCAGATTAGGAGCAAATCTACCTGGTCCACTATTCATCCCACTCTACCCTTATCTTCCACCATGATCAGGTGAAGTATGGCTCCTTCCGTTGCCGTGGGTTTGACCAGCAAAAGGGCCCATGGGAAGGGACCCCATCTAGCATGTCCACTGTGTGGTGTGTTGGGGGCTGTTGATGCAGCAGCTCTCACGTCAAAGCCAAGGAGAGCTCATTCACCTTCGAGCAAAAAATGAGCGGCCTGTGGCTCAGAAACAGCGATTCAGGTTGCCCCAAAGAGACATTCCACCGTGGAAATGGTTGTGTGAGATTTTATTAGTTTCAAAACGAGGGACGTCAAGGCATTTGTCAAACACATTGATGACAACACAGAGTTGGTGCATTAGAGCACAGTGGGAAAACTCAGCCATTGATTTCAGATACGATCTAAAGACGTGCTTGGCTTCTGGACCCGTGGGAACAAGTGACCTGGCATGGATGTGTTTGAAAGGATCAGCCAAGGACTGGGCAATGGATGGCATTCAAAGAAACTCAAGTAACCCAAGGGAGTCTAATCTGCAACCTTCTCAGTTTTCATAATCAGAGATCCCAATCAGTCATTTAGCTCTGCAGACTCTTCAACGTCTGTTGAAGGATGGGGAGGACCTCAGTGATAAGAACAACAGGGGTCTCTGTTCTTGAGGTTTACAGAGTAGGAAAACACCCAATGATAAGAAAACTGGGTCAGATGTGTCTCATCTATCCACCAACCACCATCGTGTGGGAAGGCGTCCGTAAATCGATCGCCCAGCTCCCAAACCACTCCTGCATCCACTGATACAGCTATGATTGCTCCTCAGGACGCTTACCCTCTTTCTATTAGTTGCCTTATCACAATAAAGTTCTTTATTTGAGTGGCTGCCATCACACAGAAAGCTGAGTGAGCCTTTCACATGTAAAAGAACCTGTAAGAGCTGGAGTGTGGTGAGAAGGCATTAGGTTCTTGGGGGATGGTGGTTTGAATGAAAGTGGCCTGCATAGCCTCACAGGGGGGCGGCACTATTGGGAGGTGTGGCCTTGTTGGAGGAAGTGTGTCACTGGGGGTGGGCTTTGAGGTTTCAGATGCTCAAGCCAGGCCCAGTGCCTTACAATCTTCCTGCTGCCTTGGATCTGGACATAGAACCCTGAGTTCCCTCTCCAGCACCGTGTCTGCCTGCACACCACCATTTTCTGCCATGATGATAATGGACTAAACCTCTGAAACTGTAAGCAAGTTCCAATTAGATGTTTTCTTTGATGAGTTGCCTTGGTCATGGTGTCTTTTCATAGCAATAAAATCCTAAGACGCCACCGTTAGACAGGATTAACACTCATGGAATGTGCTATTTCCCAAAGGTTATTCTAAGAAGAGTAAGCCAACCTCTGGGTTCTTGTCTCGCTGTGCAGAAAAGATTTCTTCTGCACATGGCCCATCCACTGTGATGCTACTACCTTCGATGAAACCAGAGCCAGAGCCAAACAGAAGCAAATGTCACACTTGTAGGCCTCTAGAACTGAGCTAAATAAACCTCTTTTAAAGAAAATGCCCAGGTGTCAAGCATAGTGATATATATCCCTGCTATTCCAGCACTAGGAGACTGAGACAGGAGAATCATGAGTTTGAGGCCAATCTGAATTAATGGCAAGTTTGAGGCCAGCTTAGGCTTCATGGAGGCACCCTGCTTAAAAACAAAACAAAAACAAAAACATAAGACAACTGTCTTAGGGTTTCTATTGTTGTGAAGAGACTCTATAACCATGGCAACTCTTATAAGGAA